AAATATGCTTTTGTTAATAAAATAAAAAGTTTGAAATATAGAAACTATTTCCGATTAATTTTAATAATTTTTAAGTGATCCTTCATTTATTGGGGGGCACTGTATATATTAATTAATGTTATAGCATAATTCATATACAGAAATATATATGAATATATGTAAATATTAATCTTAATAAAATTTGATAAGCAAGATTAAGCTAGTTTAAAATATATATATATATAATAAATTAATTTACTACTATAGTCTAAATATAGAATATTGTTTATAGGCTTAATAAGTTGAACTATTTGGTTATTTGTTTTAATATACTTAAATATACAGTCCTAACTAAAAGTAATAGCAGGCAGTTTTTTTTATATTATGTGATTTTTTATTCTTCTTTTGCTAATGAAGTAAAAATTCCTTATATTATTTTTTTTTTTTTTGCCACTATTTCTTTTATCTTTTTTTTATGTTACTTTTAAAAAAGTCCAAACATTCTTAATAAGGTTCTGATCAAACTATATAATGGCCACAGCAGAACATGGTATAGAAGTCTGGTTTGAAGGTTACTGTGAACATTCTTGAAAATATGTTTTGAATCGTTATTCTGCTGAAAGACCCATCAGTTCCTATACTTTTCTATTGTATTATTATAAAAACAATTATTTAGTATTTTATGATAAAGATGATGGTCTAAATTTTCTATAAACATGTGAAAATCAATTTTTCTACGTTCACTAATTGCCATCCAAATGTATAACTTAAAAGAGTGCTTAACCATTAGTGCCATAAATTGTCCATCACAAGATTATACAAAACAAGTATTCCAAAACATTTGTAGTATAGTTTTGTCAGAAAATACAACTCTATTTCAGTTATAATAGTAATAATTATGTGCCTATTGCAAATAGTTTTTTTTTGTACATTCTATAAGAAGAAAAATACATTTGGAAAGTATAGCAATAAATCCAAGCTTTGTGAGCTTAGTACAGATGATGCATTTACCAATCTCAAAGTTTGGATGGTTTTTTTCAAGTTTTGCTTTGATTTCACTAGCTGTTACAAAATAATTACTTTTGATGATTTGTTCAATTTGATAGTATATTTTAGGACTAGTTTTTTGTAAATAATTGGAATAATAAATTTCAGGAATATAACCAGTTTTACGCAAGAGAACAACATAATCTTACAAGAGTGTAAGGGAACATTGGTTCACTGTGAAATTTTGGCTGGACTGCAGATATCATTTTCTTATAAAATTTTAACTCTTGAATAGTTATTGTTAATTATTATTAGTAGGTATTTAAAGAAAAAAAAAGTGGAAGTAAACAAAAGAAATTCTGTGAGATCTACCTAAATATATTCCTGATTGATTACATTATTACTTACTAAAATTTTAAATTAACTTAATTTGAAAAGTAGGTAAATTGCACAGAAAATTGTAAACAAAGTGTCACCACTATTACTTTCAGCTAGAACTGTATTTTATATTTTTAATTTTAAGTTTACATTTTAAATAAAAATAATTTAAATATTACTTCAAATAAATTTAATTAAAAAATGTTTATATTGAAAGTATTTTTAAAAGAAATTTATTTTTAAAGAAAATTAAAACACTATATAAGTTAAAATTCAATATATATGTAATAGAATTATTATTGTAATAATAATAATATAAAATTTTTTTTAATTATAAAATTTTTAAATTTTTGTTGCATATAAAATTTTTTTAAAATAAAATATTTTTTATTAAAAATCTAAATATAAAGCAAATTAAATAAGATTAAAATTTAAACTAAACTTGTTAATCCATTTGTTACATAATAAAATTTTATTAATTTTATTAATTTAATTATTCAATTTAATTTTATCAATTCTATCATAACCAAATTAAATACAATCACATGTATAATCTAATTAATATATAATTAATATATAATCTAATAATTAGATTAGGTTAAATTGGATGTTTAAATAATAGTTATATCAAGTAAAATTCATTAAAACTGGTTAAATAAATATAATCTAAACAGTTATAATTTAATCCAAGTGAAAATAATATAGTAATAATATTTTTATTACATAATTACAATTGTTTGTTTAATTAATCATTAAAAATAAAATTTATTTTTATTCTATCTTATCAGATAAATAATTATTCAAAAATGATTTTCAAATTATAAGAATATATTAATGAATTAACAAACAAAAAATACGAATGAATTAAATTGCTTGAAAAAATTTCAACAAAAAATAGCATATATGTACTATATTTTATATACTGTAAAAAATTAAAAATTAAAAATATTTAATATAATATATAGATATAGATATAAATAATAAACAATTGTTTTTAAAAAAATTATTACTATTAGTAAGATAATAATTTAAATTTTATATTGTAAGTTTTGTAATTTGATTCATTCATTATATTAATAATAATATTTTAATTTTCATTTTTTTATACTAACTTCCCAAGTGGTTATAATTGTTATACCTGTTCTAAATAATAGTGACTCAAAAGTCACATTAAGGAATTTCTATCGCATGAAATAAGCATTCTAGATATTACATTATACTCTTACATAATTACACAATCTTCCGCTTTTAATCCATACAATTCCTTTTCTACTGCTTTCTTGATTATCATCCAATCCTCTCTCTTCTGACAAAATTCATATATGTCTTCAGCATAAAATACACCATTGAATCTTTCGGTCTCCCTAATGAATAGACTGATATCTCGCGCATTGGAAATAATAAAAATGTTACCAAGCTCTTTGAGGGCAATGAAATGTGGCGTAATGGCGGGCTGTTGAAGAGTGCTGATGAAGGAGCAATAATTATTTAAATCACTTTTTCGTAGAGAATTAATAAAATCAAAGTTATTTATGATCAGTAAAGACTATTCATCAAACAATTTTATTTTGCCAAATGATTTTGTATCAGACAAGGATTCTTACCTGATAATTTGAAAGCCACCGCTTGTGTTTACAACGAATTTCTTCAGATGCTTTGTTAAAACCCTACGCGAAGCAGATTAGACGACTCATGATAAATGAAATGTAGCGATTTAACGAGAAATCAATCTTTACCCAAAGAACCTAAGTCCAATCTCCTGAAAGAATACGTCCAAAATATGCTTATCAGTACATCCAACTAATATTTTTGTATGTTTGGATAAACACTCGACTGCTTCAATGCATGCCTTTAAATTCAAATAAATAGGTAATCTATCGTAAGTTCGGAAGTCCATTATAATTATTGCGAGAATAAACAGGATATAAAGATACCTTGGTAGGTATTAAATCCAGCGACGCATCAGCTGGTGGCCTGAAATCTTCAGGTTGTTGTTTTGCTGACAGTGTAAATTCCAAATGATCCATTAGAATCTAAAGGTGAGAATACGGGGAGAAAGTCAATTACACCCTTCATTGTTTGATAAACACAGACTCTATAAAAAATTTTCAGAAATACCTGAATGACTTTGTTCAAACTATCAGCGACGCATTCGTCCAAAACCCGTTCAAAAGCTTTTTTCTCCTTATTACAAACGTTCAAAAAATCTGATTTATCGACATATTGTTTCTATAGCAAGGGAAATGAGTAAGAACATGAATGGTTTTAAAATCTGTTCAAATACATGAAACATTATAATTTACCATTTCTTCATCATAATAAACTTGCACCATTTGGTGCATCAAGTCCGCTATATGGACAAGTTCAAAGAGCTCAACCAAGGGTGTCAAGCCTCTTGAAGTAACTTCTGGATTGGATTTTTGATCATCAAGGCGTTTTATGGCACTGTTGGTAAAGTAACATTGGTCAGTGAAGGAGATTCTACCGGGATCGGTAGGAATGATAACGCTTACGTGCAAAATCCTGGTTTGATATGTTCGGTACCCAGCGTCCGGAGAAGAGTAATAAACACAGTATGAACGGTATCTATGCTGGGTACGACGTATTTTTTGAGTTTGTATAGATTTCATGGTGATTTACTCGAATAACAAATAAGCAGTAAGTAAATCCAATTACATCTTATGACCCATCTCGCCAGGATATCCCACGAATACACCGATTCTATTCAGAGATTCCCTATTCGTGTGGATCATTTGTAAAGCAGTTTCTAGACTAAGTAGTTGTTGAAGTTTATTTGATTTAACGCTGTTTGATGTTAATTGTGTATCTGTGTCACTGCTATGATTATTATATTTTTGCAAACTAGCAACGCTGCTTCTTTTATCCGAAGCAAAACTGGTCTGCGAAAATGAAACCGAACTTGAATTTCTTGATTTTGTGGTGGGTAACTTCAAAATTTTCCGAAAGGATGAAAGGTAATTACGTTTGTACACTTCCCGGTTATAATTGTTGAGGAGAGATTGTTGTTCCGATATTGTTTTATTTAACAACTAGGGAAAATTAAGAGAATCCATTTTAGTACTTTAAAGATCACACCTACACGCAAAGCAAAAATACAGACTTTCCCACGAAGTGATACCTTTTGATTCCACTTATCAACCTCTTCGTCATTTAACATTTTTACCATCGTAAGTTCATCATTTAGATAGGAGTTCATCATTGGTTCAAACATTCGGTAAATTACATCTTCAGCCCTTATTTTACTTAAGCCTGGTTCTGCTTGTTTCCACAGGACTTCAGAAATATGTTTACAATTAAGATATGCTGCTCTTACTGCCCTAAAATAAATGATAATATCACGACTTCGAGCCTCTACCAGAAGGGTTGAAATATAATCCGTAATCTTGAAAACCGGTTGTTTGATGAGTCAATGTTTCACGAAAAGAAAACTGATATTCAATTCACGACCACTTACAACATCCTCGACCACTTTTTCGACAAATGCATAGAAAACATCTGATTCCGGTAGAAATACTTGATCTATCAAGCTCGCTTGCTTTTTGAAATCTTCTTCCAAGTAACCAAAGAAATCTGAAATGGGTGTGAAACTCAATTCGCTTCCAGAAGACGATGATGTTTGTCTGATGGATAAACACGTGATAATAAACAGTTAAAATAAATTCATTCTTAAATTCAAAAAAGGTATAGATCCATTCTGACTAGCATACATAAAATTGTCCATGGGATCAAACAAGTGATCAAAGAAAATAGAATTCTTTTGTATAAATGCCGGAATGCAAGACACACCCCCATTCAATTCTAGAAGAATATTTGCCCATTTCTATCAAATAAATTTTTTTTAGGTGTTGTCAATGTCTATTTATTTTAAGAATCATGAATGTTCCTATAAAGCAACAAACCTTCATTTCAATTGGATTCTGCGCATCATATGCTAATTCGAAACGGAGAAGTGAAGCATTTTCAAAATATTCAATGGTAGTCGCAAGAGCATCGTAAATCTGTGAAAACATGAATGGTCGCATTAATCTTGCATTGAACACATAATTCAAACTTCAATCAAACATACCTGATCCGAGTCTAAACTAATATTTAACTTGCTAAAATTCATTAACCTTTTCAACATCTTTGCCTGTTCTGTCGGGTCAGCATATTCCTTGAATAATCGACTATCATTCTTTCTGTTTCTAAAATCTATGTAATATGGCAACAGATCTGTGTAAATTCTTTTAAAGATGGCTCTTGCAATTCCAGTAGACGCAGACCGAGGTTTTTGAGAAAAAGAGTCAAGAGGTAGCCCTGGTATCAAGCTCAATGCTTTTTGAGATCTCGCTTTCGTTATTGCAAATTCCAACAAATTTCCTGTGGAATTAGTTTCATTTGGCGTTATAGGTGACGTCTGCGTGGAAACCAAGGAATCAACGTCGAAATTTACGGCCCCGTCAATTGCATTATCATTATTTGTTCTTCCGGTTAATTTTGAATTTACGAAAAGACTATCTAGAGGAGCGTCCGTAATATCATTTGCATCATATTCTTTATGCGCGCATAATGTTTTTAAATGTTGTTCCCACAGCTCATCATCATAAACTAGAACCTTGAATCTACGACAAGCGCACGCGAAGCTCGAAAGAGAAGTGATCGGGAGATATCTAAGGATTCTAAGTAGAATGTCTGGTGGAAGAACCAATTTAAGTGAAGAAGATTGCTTCGGAGGTTGAGACTTTGGTGTAATAGAATCAGGAATCTGGGGTAAGGGAAGCTTATTAACAGGCAAATCACCAAAAAAGTCAAACTTATCCATCTAAAAAGTAATGTATGCTTGGTCAGTCAGACCTCCGATTTCCAGTTAGTAAAGGCGATGATCTTTGCCAATCATAACCGTTGTCATCATTTAAATAAACTCGGAAAATCGGGGATCCATCATCTCGAAGATGTTTTACTCCAGCTTAAGACATAAGCTGAAGACTTCGATACAAAATTCACGTCTACCTCATAAATGTACAATACGAGTTCCTTATAGAACTACCCATAACCTTTATCAAGGAAAATGGGAGGCGATAATTGGTCTAGAGATTCATGCGCAAATATCCTCAAGGACGAAGTTATTTTCTTGTGCGTGTTAATTATGATAGTTGGAGTTTCAAATGAATTTCTTTGTGATAAATTTCGGTCATTTACGTTTACGAGTAATAAATAATGGATGATCAAACCCATAAATTTTATGAAAAAAAATAGCGTCTTCTACTTCGTTCAACGAACCCGTTAATACAAATATCTCTGTGATTGACGCTGCCTTTCCGGGAACCATACCGGTATCTGAAGTTAATTTGAAATCATGGGATAAAGTTTATGACGGGATTTTATTATATTTTTGGTGATCTTTCAGAGATTAAATTCTAAATGCGTTGATCTCGCGGTAGCAACGTCTTTGGTACTATCAGGAGATGTTCAATTGATTTCTTCGTTCGACCGAAAACAGTATTTTTATCCTGATTTACCAGCAGGCTACCAAATCACTCAACATTATGGTGAGATATGACAAATGATTTCGGCAAGAATTGTCTCCTCTTATGTGATTAACCAGGAATCAAATTCTATAAGCTCCGCTCTCTATCGGTGGCAAACTTATTTTAACCCATTTGGATGATGATGATGTTGACCATGAAATTGAGGTGCGGATCAAACAGATTCAGCTTGAGCAGGTGATTTGACGCCATCCTTTATGTTTCTTAGTCAAAAGTTTTTCTATACGAAACTAATTCGTGTTGAATAGGACACTGGGAAAAGTATTCACGATGTGAGGCCCGGGATGGCCCTGATAGATTTAAACAGAGCCGGAGTCGGATTAATGGAAATTGTGACTGAACCTGATATAAGGTATGTTACCATTCATATCGCGTCGTTCTCAAAAAAAAAAACTTTTTTAAAAAAAAAGTCATTGTATTTCCCAAGGACACCAAAAGAAGCAGGTTTGACTCTTCGAAAGTTACAATCCATACTTCGCGCTGTTGGATCCTCAGACGGTAACATGGAAGAGGTTAGGTGTGATGTTTCTAAGATATCTTTTGTTCGGCATTAATTGGATCACGTGTTTTAAGTAGGGGTCTTTACGCTGCGACGCTAATGTCTCCATACATGAACCCGGAACACCTTTCGGTACAAGATGTGAAATCAAAAATTTGAATAGCGTCAAATTTCTGATGGGTGCCATAGGTTGGTTGTTAAATTTTTTAACAGTATATCAAAGTCTTATCATTAACTTATGAACGCGTAATGCGTTTTAGATGCAGAAATCGAACGACAAGCAAATGAATTAAGAAACGGAAACCGCGTCATCCAAGAAACAAGAGGATACAATGTTGCAGAGAATAAGACGTTTAGATTGAGAACAAAAGAAACGGCTATCGATTATAGGTAACGTGTGATGTGTTCTATTTTCGAAACAGATCATATACTGTATGTACATACATATTCATTTTCTTTTCCATCGTCATTATTAGATACATGCCAGAACCAGATTTACCACCTCTGATAATAACAAAAGCGTGTATACATTTATCTTCTTGGATCAATATTGTGTAAATATAAGGCGTGACACTTACGTTTTAATCTGTGCATCAAAAGGAATATCTTACGCGCATTTCAAATAATTTACCGGAACTACCAGATGAACGTAAAATAAGATTGATGAAAAATTACAAGATTTCTTTACAAGATGTCAAGACATTGATGGGTGAAGATGGTGGAGTTGAATATTACGAAGAGGTAGATTGACGAAGATTTCTCCACTCCTAAATGTTATGCATTTTCATGATTGGTAACTTCTAAATTAAGGTCGCGAAAAACCATAACCCGCTACTCGCTTCAAATTGGTAAGCAAGAATCTTAACATTTTTTGGCGAGATTTCGAATGATAACCAATAGTAAGATAATTTTTACCTTGAAAATAGGATCACTCACGAATTATACGGCCTTCTGCATAGTAAAAATATCAAATTTTCCAAGAATCCCGTGTCAACCGCTCAACTAGGTTCAATAATTGAGTGCATTAGAATTGGGGATATCTCTGGTAAAGATAATATGTTAAGTCTTCAATTAATGACAACGAGACGCGGTATCGTTAGATATTAATATATTTAAATAACAGGAAAGATAGGAAAACTAGTTTTAGGACAGATGGTTTCCGGGGACAAGCGCCTGGCCCCCGAAATCATTGAAGAAAAAGACTGGAAGCAAATAACTGATGTTAACGCGTTAGAAGCAATTTGTAAAGAAATTCTATCGCAAAATCCGGAGAATGTAATTATTTCCCCCATTTTTATATTTAACAGATTGAATGTTTTCGGATTATCTTATTTTTTGTTTATTAATTTTTTTTTACACACAAGGTAAAACTCATCAAAGAAGGTAATCAAAACACCTTTAAATGGTTTGTAGGACAGGTGATGAAAAAAACCAAAGGAAGGGCTAACCCTCAATTGGCAAATGATTTGTTAAAAAAATTATTGGATTGATTTTTTTTGGCCAGTTGTATTTCTATTAAATGCGGCTGGTAATAGATGAGATGCTATATGAATTTCTACATTATCACGTTTTAAGCGAGCGGACTAATCATTCTAATAACGTCGTCAATAAAAAATAAAGTTAAAATGGACACACTGTTAAAAAAATAAAAAACGGATGGAGCTTTTACCTAATCAATGAAGGTTTAGGATTGCTTCTGGTAAATCCTACAGAAAATACTTTTTGAATTCGAAGTCCTTTATTTTTGAACAAACGCGAAAAAAAACTTACCTAGATAAAGTATGAATGGAATGAATCCCCAATGGATAATAGTTTTGGCAATATCCGTGGCTTTGATTATTTTTTCCTAAAGAAGGAATGCATGGTTACGAAATTATCATGGGAGAAATAGAAACAATAGAACATAACATACTTTGGTTTCTTCTTTCATTTTCCCTTTTTGAAAAAAATTGATTCTCGTGGGGGTTTTAAATATGCCTGGCATCAATCTATCACGTGTTGATTATGCTAATTTCGTGAAACGTTACTAAATCATGTATATTATACTCTTTTTGCTTCAATTATGGCTATTAGCAAGGTTCAAAGAAAATCAATTCCTATTTTTTTTTTTTTTTTTTTTAACCCTTGCCGTCAACTCAGGTACCTTTTGTATCACCTTACTAGTCTCCTGGTGTTT